AGAGGGGCAGGGCCGGGGCAGGGCGGGGAAGGGGGAGGGGGCGGCGGGGGGAGAAGAGGGGGCAGAGGCGGTTTAACAAAAGTTTTTCCCGGGAATATTTTGTGGGACGGCTGCTAGGCTTTGAAGGGTGAGATCTGAAACCTGGGACTAGAATTGTAACTTGTTGAGTCTCAGTTTCTTAATTCAAAAAGCGGGGATGGTGATTGCTGTCTTCTTGATTTCTGAGTTTTAATATTAGGCAGATCAAGTGAGATCCCGTTTGCCACAGTGCTTTGAAAAAGGAAATCGTCCGCAGTCCAGAAAAAAAAAAGCTGGCTGTCATTTTTCATTCATTACATTATCAAGGATTGAAGAAAATGGTAGGTAAATGCTTTGACAACAGAAATCCTGTTCAGTGCAACAACAAAAACAACTAACAACAATAATAGCCACCTCTCTTTTGGGCTTTTTGTGTTCCAGGCACTGTTCTTAGAGCTTCACATTTCTTAACTCATGTATTTCTCATAATAAGTTTGTGTACATAATGTACATGTATAGTAATATATGAGTATTATCCCCATTTTACAGATAGAGGAACAAAGGCACAGAGAAGTTAAGTGACTTCTCCAAGGTCACACAGCTAGTTAAGTGTCCCCCGCAAGAATTTCAGCCAGGATTCTAGGTAAGACAATGAAAACATATTCAGGCCCATTACTTTTGTTTCTTTTGAAACAAATGATGGATGCTAAGCAAACAGGGTGTAGTCTAGACACACAATTTCAAAGTGTAAATTGTCACAACTTGTTGGAAATCAGTTTAGTGCTACATATCTAAAGCCTTAAAAATGAGCACAACCTCACAAATAGACAAATACCTGATTCTATTTATACGAGATGTCTAAAATAGTCAAACTGCTAGAAAGTAGAATGGTGATTGCCAGGGGCTGGGAGAGGGGGGAAAAGGAAGATGTTCAATGGATAGGGAGTTTTGCAAGATGAAAAAGTCCTAGAGATCTGTTGCACAACAGTATGACTATAAAAGTGATTAAAAGGGTAAACCTTAAGTGCCTTTTAAAATCAGATTTAAAAAAGAGCATAGCCAGGCTGGTGTAGCTCAGTGGTTGAGGGTCGACCTATGAACCAAGAGGTCAGGGTTTGATTCCCGGTCAGGGCACATGCCTGGGTTTGGGGCTCAATCCCCAGTGTGGGGAATGCAGGAGGCAGCCAATCAATGATTCTCTCTCATCATTTCTCCCAGAGAAATTCTTGCACATGTGAACCATGAAACATGGATCAAGAATGTTCGAAGCAGCACTGTTAGTAAAAGCAAAAGACCAGAAACAACCACATTTTTATCATCAAGGGAATGGACAGTCTGTTGGTATATTCATGCATTGGCCTACCACACAGCGGTGAATGAATGTACTGGAGGGAATGGACAATCTATTGGTATATCCAGGCAATGGCCTACCACACAGTGGTGAATGGTGAATGGTGAATGAATGTAGTGAAGCTCTGTGAATTAGTCTGGATGAATTTCAGTGTCTTAATTTGCACTCCACCCAGAGCAGAGTGTTTGAGACAAATCTTCCCATATTTAGGAAGTGATCCCAGGAATCAGAAATGGTGAGAAAAAAGGGAAGAAAAACCAATAAAATGTGCATTACTGAGCTACTGATGACTGTGGGCTACTGTGCTCATTCCCACTGGGAACTCTCCGAGAGTCGTGAAGAATACAGCTCAGAACTGTCCCTCTGAGGTGCGAGGCTGGAGTGCTTTCCTCTATCTCCTGTCCCAGCAGGTTGACCCCCTGAGGTATTAACTTTCCTGAACTCCTGAGCTGCACACAGGTCAAACAGCCTTCCCAAGTTTTGTAGAGAGCCCGAATGAGATGAGCAAAGAACTGCTGTGGCCTCGGGGTGGCATGCTGGCAGCCTGTTGGCAAGTTTCAGTTACCCCAAAATTGAGTGGGTTGAGGGACATGGTTTGGGCCACCACAGGTGTCAGCCAGGCTCAGAAATGAATGTTGACTGAAAAAAGGAAATTACAGAGAATTAGGTATAATGTGCTCCATTTTTATAAGGTTCAAAAACACGTAAAAGTATATAATGCTTTGGGGTCTCCCCCATATATGTTTTATTATTGAAATATTATGTGATATGTGCTTCTTGTAAAAACCATGAAGAGTAAAGATGAAAGTTTCTCTCTTCTCTCTCCCCTCCCATCAATCTCATTGCCCTTTCCAGAAAGAACCATTTTTAAAATTTATTTTTTTATTTAAGTATAGTTTGTACACAATTTTATATTGTTTATATTACTTTCAGGTGTACTATATAGTGATGTGACATTTTTATACCTTACCATGTGATCACCCTACTAATTCTAGTAATCATTTGTCACGTGTGCATTTATCCCAATATTATTGACTATATTCCCCTTCACCTTTTTTGTCCATCCCTCCACACCATCCCTTTTGGTAACCATGCCGTTGGTCTCTATTTCTATGAGTCTGTTTTCGTTTCGTTTGTTTGTTTTGTTTTTTAATTCATGGTTAAGGATACAATTATGGATGTTATGAATATACAGTTATGGATATTATGAAAGCTGTCAAGACAGGCAGGAAAGGGTTTATCACAGGTTGGTAGACAGTAAGCACGTTTGCTTGTCAGGAAGCACGTGTCAGGGTGCAGTTGGAGATAAAGGTAGTGAGTTAAAGAAGGTGGCTAATTGGTAGATGTCTTTGAAACCGATCTGCAATTTTACTCAGATTTGGAAAGTAAGTGGGAGCAAGCTTTTCAGAAAGGGTGCTTTAGGGTCAAAACTTATGAAAAGGAATCGCTATGCAGTTAGCTGGGGAGGGGAAGGGTGTGAGGGCCAAAGGTCCCTGACACCCGGTGGCATTTGGAGTTTCCCTCACTTTTTTAGGGAGGCCTCTCTTTGCTCTGTTCCCTTATCAGGGGCAGACAGGCAGGGCGGAGCTTGTGGTGTGTAGGGGCAGCTAGAAGGGAGTCTGTAGGACAGACGAGGGAGCCCCTGGGTGAGGGCTGTGGGCATTAGAATGAAAGGAGAGCTTTTCCCAGACCCACCTCCAGAGCCCTTCCTGACCCCTCTGCCTGATGCCTGATCTCCCCGGATGGATGGAGGGAGGGTCCGCAGCTTGGAGACTCCAGCTCTGCCGCACGAAAGGGCCCTTGATTCCAAAGGTGGTGAGTGCTCCTCCCTTTCCCCTTCTCTTTAGTCCTTTAACTTTCTCAGGATCTTCAGGTTTGTTGGAGAAACTATCCCCTTTCTCCTTACTCACGAGAACATTTTAAAATATAAATATATACATACTTTTATTGATTTCAGAGAGGAAAGGAGAGGGAGAGAGAGATAGAAACATCAATGATGAGACAATCACTGATCGGCTGCCTCCTGCATGCCCATACTGGGGATCGAGCCCACAACCTGGGCATGTGCCTTGACTGGAAATCGGACCGTGACCTCCTGGTTCATAAGTCGATGCTCAACCACTGAGCCATGCTGGCCGGGCACAAGACATTTTAAGGACGAAATGAGGCAATGGGAAATGGAAAGCACAAAAGGGGAAGAGTGACAAGGAGCCTGGGTGGGTTTAAAGACTCTCATTCAAGTATTATTGTCATCATCATTGTTATTATAGCTGTCATTAATTTAGTCCTTGCTATTAGCCAGGCCCTGTGCTGTGTGCTTTCAGACTGATCATTTGTAGATTTGCAGGGTCTTCTGAAGTTGCTTGGAGTTATTAAGGGAACTTCTGTTGTAATGCTTTTCCTCACCCCTAGAAGTAACCACTGTTTACTATCTACACTCTTGCCTATTTGCTAAGCATCTTCTCCCTAAATTGTATCATACTATCTATAGCTTTTTCAAGTTACTGTTTGGGTTACAATGAAAACTTCCCAAATGCATATATATATATATATATATATATATATATATATATATATATAAATTATTGATTTCAGAGAGGAAGGGAGAGGAAGAGATAGAAACATCAATGATGAGAGAGAATCATTAACGGCTGCTTCCTGCACACCCCCTACTGAGAATCGAGCCCGCAACCCAGGCATGTGCCCTTGATGGGAATCGAACTCAGGACCCTTCAGTCGGCAGGTCGATGCTCTGTCCACTGAGCAAAACCAGTCAGGGCCCAAATGCTCTTAAAGATTGTTTTAGCATGTGTGTATAAAATGCTGTGTAGTATTTCATTGCAAGAATGTGCAACTATTAGTTAATCATTCCCATTTTAATGAACTTTTAGGTTGTTTTTAATCTTTCCTTTTCATAAGAAGCTTTGTGATGAGCATCCTCACCATCAAATCCTTATGCACATCCTTATTTATTTCCATAGAATTCTTTTCTGGAAGTAAAATTACTGGATTAAAACGTTTGCATATTTATAAATCATTTGATACTTATTGCTAAATTACCCTCGTGAAAGTTGATTTGCACTGGGCAAGCGAGTCATTTTCCCACCTGTGTAATAACTCGGGGTATTATTTTTTCTAATATTTGATAATTTCAGGGAAGACAAAGTCATATCTAACTGTGGTCTTAGTCTGCATTTCTCTGATGACTAGAGAGTAAAAGTCCATTTCTGCTGTCATCCTCTCCCTGGTTGGTTTGCCTCTGTGGCTG